AATAATGTCCAGTTTCTTAGACTTCTTTGAGACTTGTGCCGTACAGTTTATAACTGTGGCATTGAACGCCACACTATCCACCTTTTTAACACACAGGGTATCTTTTGACTGGCAGCAAACATTTACTACAGGCTGTGGTGCGTCCACTACCATATCTTCACTAGAATCACTTGTTTTCTCAATTATTTTAATCACCTCCGCATAGGAGATTTGATTGACCGGTCTAACTTTTGCCACCTCAATCTCCTTCATCCATACAGGGCACTCCAGGAACTCGGGATTATGATCCCCACCACAATTCCAACACCGTTGTCCTTCTACACACAGTTCTTCAATATACTCTGTCCATCTGCACACACTTGAAACACGGCCAAATCCTTTACAGTTCTTACAATGCAATGGTTTGGGGACAAAAGCTCTTACAGCGTATCTTACATAACCAAGCTTCACATGCGTAGCTATTTGCTCTTTATCAAAAAACAACAGGACCGACAGACTTTCTTGTTTTTCGCCATTCACCCAGTGGGTCAGACGACGGGCACCAACCACACCAGGAATTCTCTTCAGGTATTCAACCTGAACATCCGTCGTCACCCCTGAGATTACTTCTTTGACGGGTGCTCTACTCCGAAGTTCAAAACACAAAACTTTTGTTGTTTGGATTCATTTGAGGCTCACTACAATCTTCCTCTGTTCTTCAGAAATACATTGAATCAAAATAAGACCACTCCTGGTCACTGACAGACTCGACTTTTCCCAGCGCATTCTTCACCATTTGACACCTCAAACAGGTTTCCCACATATGCATCCTTACTCAACAAACACATCCCAACAAGAAGCGATTAATTATCATTAATACATGTATCCTCTACTCCAATTTTAGACAATTTCCTTTTTGTTCCAGTTTTCGCTACTACTGTTGTCCATTCAGAACATTCGTCTTCACCAACTTTGCTCGATGTGCTGCTTGATTCGAACTCAGCATCCACTTCTGCCATTTCCCCCCCCCCCCCCTGCCGCTAGTCCCGGTGATGTCCATGGAATGGGGACCACGTGATATCTCGACTTGGTGGCTTAGGGGCGGAGCTTATGATTGACAGACACCACGCCTCTTACCTCTGTGCCATACTCTCCTCGTAATAAAAAGCTCAACTCTCGAATTGAAGAGGCACATCACAACATGGAAACACTGGGCCGAACAAACAAATTATCTGTCGGCGCCTATAAAATTGTACCGAAACTTCCTGTTTCCATCACAGCTGTTGTGATTTTTTTCCTCTACGGTATGACTTTACTCGCATAAAAACTGTGGATGGAAACTGGCAGACATGGGATTCGCCTTTGTTATTGCCGATGAAGTGGATGCTATCGGAATTCCACTTCTCCTACACGAAGCTCAACATTATCAATATGGTCCAAGGAATGAATATCCTGATGATAAGGAAATTAGATACCAGCCCAAGGTCTTTCTAACATTTACAAGACTTGTTTTGTATTTTTGTGATGGTTTTCTCAAAATATAACCAGGTAGGCTTCAGTGGCTTGCAAAAGTATTCATCCAACTTGCCATTTTTCCTATTTTGTTGCCTTACAACCTGGAATTAAAATAGATTTTTGGGGGGTTTGTATCATTTGATTTACACAACATGCCTACCACTTTGAAGATGCAAAATATGTTTTATTGTGAAACAAACAAGAAATAAGACAAAAAAAACAGAAAACTTGGGCGTGCATAACTATTCACCCCCCCAAAGTCAATACTTTGTAGAGTCACCTTTTGCAGCAATTACAGCTGCAAGTCTCTTGGGGGTATGTTTCTATAAGTTTGGCACATCTAGCCACTGGGATTTTTGCTCATTCTTCAAGGCAAAACTGCTCCAGCTCCTTCAAGTTGGATGGGTTCCGCTGGTGTACAGCAATCTTTAAGTCATACCACAGATTCTCAATTGGATTGAGGTCTTGGCTTTGACTAGGCCATTCCAATACATTTAAATGTTTCCCCTTAAACCACTCAAGTGTTGCTTTAGCAGTATGCTTAGGGTCATTGTCCTGCTGGAAGGTGAACCTCCGTCCCAGTCTCAAATCTCTGGAAGAGTTTCCCTCAAGAATTTCCCTTTATTTAGCGCCATCCATCATTCCATCAATTCTGACCAGTTTTCCAATCCCTGCCGATGAAAAACATCCCCACAGCATGATGCTGCCACCACCATGCTTCACTGTGGGGATGGTGTTCTTGGGGTGATGAGAGGTGTTGAGTTTGCGCCAGACATAGCATTTTCCTTGATGGCCAAAAAGCTCAATTTTAGTCTCATCTGACCTTCTTCCATATGTTTGGGGAGTCTCCCACATGCCTTTTGGCAAACACCAAACGTGTTTGCTTATTTTTTTCTTTAAGCAATGGCTTTTTTCTGGCCACTCTTCCGTAAAGCCCAGCTCTGTGGAGTGTACGGCTTAAAGTGGTCCTATGGACAGATACTCCAATCTCCGCTGTGGAGCTTTGCAGCTCCTTCAGGGTTATCTTTGGTCTCTTTGTTAGCTCTCTGATTAATGCCCTCCTTGCCTGGTCCGTGAGTTTTGGTGGGCGGCACTCTCTCGCCAGGTTTGTTGTGGTGCCATATTCTTTCAATTTTTTAATAATGGATTTAATGGTGCTCTGTGGGATGTTCAAAGTTTCAGATATTTTTTATAACCCAACCCTGATCTGTTCTTCTCCACAACTTTGTCCCTGACCTGTTTGGAGAGCTCCTTGGTCTTCATGGTGGTGCTTGCTTGGTGGTGCCCCTTGCTTAGTGGTGTTGCAGTCTCTGGGGCCTTTCAGAACAGGTGTATATATACTGAGATCATGTGACAGATCATGTGACACTTAGATTGCACTTTATTTAACTAATTATGTGACTTCTGAAGGTAATTGGTTGCACCAGATCTTATTTAGGGGCTTCATAGCAAAGGAGGTGAATACATATGCACGCATCCACTTTTCCGTTATTTATTTCTTAGAATATTTTGAAACAAGTTATTTTTTTCATTTCAATCCACCAATTTGGACTATTTTGTGTGTTTCCATTACATGAAATCCAAATAAAAATCTATTTATATTACAGGTTTTAATGCAACAAAATAGGAAAAACGCCATGGGGGATGAATACTTTTGCAAGCCACTATAGGTGCCAAATAGGTGTTTTTGCAGCATATGGGATATGCTCTGTTGTTGCCATTATGTCATTCCCTTGTACCTTCCTCATTATTATTTGTGATTGTGCAACATAGAATTGTAACAGATGTGATTAAATGGAGTCCACAAATATTCTTACTGTATGATAATTGATTGCATGTTTGCATCCCTACAGACTGCAGTGTATTTCTTTAATTCTCAACCTTTATGTTGCTTTTGTCAGTCGGCATGTAAAGAAATAATTTGATTCAATCACATGAAGGACAAAACACTCACTGTACAGAAAAGGATTAGACTATACATGTACATCAGTTCACATAAGTTACTGGGTAAACAATATGAAAGGATTAGACTACATGTACATTAGTTCACATATGTTAATGGGTAAACAATATCCCAAGCAATATGCCAAGTAGTCAAATGCACTTGGTATTGACCCCACGACTGGTGTCTGGGGTTCTTTCTCATTAAGGGCCGATTTCCCGGACAGATTAAGCCTCTAAAATTGCCAGTGTTGAAATCCCCTACCATGTTTAGCCTACAATATATATTCAATTTTTTTCACACTTAATAGACAATCAACAAATTTGAAATTGTTTGGTGACTACAATATTACAGACAAGACAAATTGTAGGCTATAACATGGGACACAACATTACAGTAACATCTAAATAAATACATTAGCTATACTGTAGGATATTTCATTTATTTATGTTAGAAATTTGGATCACATGTAATTAAATCGTAAGGATGTATGGATAAAGATGCATTTAAACTCTAAATAGTAATCCACTCAAAACAGTAAACATGCATTGATAATAACCAATGATAGGTGGCGACATCAAACATTTATGAGCATGTAGTGCCTTTTGCTTCCAAAAAAAACAGAAGAAGGTTTCCTTCAACGCTTTGGTTCTGACTTCACGTTGCAGTTGGTGAGGAGCAACTACAAAAGTCGAAAGTTCATGACCTTTGATCACATGGTTATTGTAAAGTTCATGCAATCGAAATGTAGTCGCAGTGGAACCATTTTTGTACCCATAATGCAACACACTTTGAAAGCAGGTGATCAATGTTGGTCAATGTCTTGACAAAAAGGATCCGCTCGAACCTGCCCACTGACTCTGAATATAAGCCCCATAGCTCGAATGTGATTAGAGCCTCCACATAGGCTCTACTCAATACAAGCGTTGCGATTTTGACATTCGATGTGTGTTCATGTTATTTGTAATTCGACACAGCCCATTACTTGCACCAATGTTTAATTATATGTGTGAATTCTATTGTAGAATTTCGAATAAAAAAAAAAGTCATACTAGCCGTGTCATTATAGCTATGGTGTTTGGTCAAGATACTGTACATATACTGTCATCAAGTTATGCAGAATTGCATTGTGTGCAAGGCAGCACAGTGGGTAAAATTATGGAAAGTTACAAGGATGTATAATAAAGTAATAAGGTGGATAATAAATACAATTGATTGGTCCATGTTTAAGTTGCATAAGTAATCAGACTATGATTTACAAAATAAAGCAATGTCATGATTTGGATATGTGCCCAATGAGTGTTGCCAGCACTATTATCTATTGATATCAAGTTTGAGTTGAGTCACATAAAAGGGATTAGTTGCCCTCCCCCCTTCAAATACGAGTTTAGCTAAATATTTTCCTCACTACTGTTCTGGATGCATGCAGTGTATCTTGTTTGAATGCAAGAAAATGAAGAAAGAAATAGAATGAAGCATTTCAAATATTGGGTGGTATTGAACTTGAAGGGCCCATCAGAGACCCTCTACAGACGTCTGATGACGTGTCTGACAGCATTTTGCCCCACGAGCGCAGTCAGTAGAGCGTGCACTGATACACAATCATCAGATAGATGCAGAATGAGAAGCAATATTTGTAGAAAATACCATATCCAGTGCACGGCACGCTTTCCAGAAGGTTTCTCTCCGACAAGTAGCTATTTTTTGATGAATTCATGACGGTTTGAAAGAGATGCTTTACTTGGAGGCGGATAGAGGAAAAAGGTCGACATGACAAGCTATTAGCTAGACATAATTTGAAGAAAGACAGCATTCATGCTGTGTTGCTGTGGATCACCCTGACATAGAATTCTATCGTTTTCCGACGATCTACAGACAAAACACGGATAATTGCAACTGCATCAACAAAAATGGAGAGGAAAACATCCCTTGTTTTGGGGAGAGAACGAAGGACCAACACCGTTAACTAAGTAGCTTGCTAGCTGATACCGAGGCTTGGATGTTGTTGTTTTGTCAGGGTAGTTATCTAAAATATGAATACAGCATTGAAGCCATGGTTTGTTTTGAACTAGTTAACGTTAGCTAATTACGTTGTAAGTAGCTAGCTAGCTGGGACATTAGCCAGCCACCTTACTAGCTAGCTAGCTAAGTCATAACAAGCCAATTGCAAATTGTTATTTCAGCTGGCTAGCGAACTTGTTAGCCTGCTAGCTAGGTCGTTTATTATTGGACAGGAGCCTTTTCTTAGTACAGTAGTTAGGAATTGACTGCTGAAGAGTGGCAGTCAATTAATCTGTCTGTTCATTGTGTCCAGTTATTCTCTAGTAATGAACCTTGTATTTACCTTAGGACCGTATCTTTAAATGGCACTGATACGGATGTAGTGAGCCATCCACTCCATGGTGCAATACAGGAGTTTATCAGACTTGACTGAATCTAGCTTGAAAGTGGTTGGCACTTAACCAGAAGGGTCATTACATGGTTTTAGAACAGAATTCTACAAATGTTTGTAGAGAACATTACATAAAACTTGATTGACAGCACTGAAGTCCACTGCTTCGTTATGCGTCTCTCCTCCTTCCTGGCCGTGTTCAGGCCTGCTCTTCCCCTTATCCTGGGGCTCTTTTTGGGATGCAGCCTGAGCCTGCTGATGGTCTCCTGGACCCAGGGAGACACAGATGACTCGTGTGGAGATGAACTGGGCGATAGGGGTCTCTTCCTTGGCAGCAATAGGGGAGACCTCCCAGGGGACCAGAGAGGTGGTCCTGGGAATGAGGACTTCCAGCCACACGTAGTACCATACCACAAGGACCCCAACAAACCACACAAGAAGGTCCTCAGGTGAGCATTTTGGAATGGATGCACAAAGGAATACCACATCCTAGCCTAACACTAGGTATCAGAGACAAGAGTTTGCAAATAGGCAATTCCATCGTAACGGAATTGCGCTGAGACTAAGATTTATCACTTAAAATATATACCAAACAAAAACCATTGATTTCATAGTTTAACAAACCATACAACTCTATGCACAAGGACTACTTTGAACAATTTACACTGAAAATTCAACAAAAACACATTTACTGGAAGAACTGTGCAGATGCTAAGTTGTGTAATATAATTTCGGTAAAATCTTCCTCAGTTTCTTATGTGACCATGTTTTCCAAAAACTCTTAAATATCTTCTCCAAATTAAGGTGCAAATATGTCTGCAGAAAGAATGGGATGTCAGTTATGACATGACACCTTGAGTTTGAAACAATCTATTTTGGTTATTGAACTACAGTAAGTGAAGTGGATTTACACCCAGTAACAGAATTGTGGTAACGGAATTTCATCATATGTCCCTGATCTGTACTACAGAGAAATGCATAATTATGGATATGAACGTCATTGTCTTCATGGTGATGTATCCTGAATAGGTACACAAAGGTAGAAATATGGAATATCCTCCTTTTGTATATTTGGGTATTATTCTACACACTGGCTATTATTCTAATGAGCTCTGCCCCCCCAAACAAGACCAAATTTGGTTGGTCCTGACTGGACCAAATCTGAACCAATCATAGACGTCTATGTTTCACAAGTTTGGACAGCAAAGTACAGCACAGTAGAGTTCAGTACAGTAGAGTCAAGTAGAGTATAGTTCAGGACAGTGTACTCAACTCTAGTGTGCTTTACTGTGTACTGTACTACACTCTACTCTACTGTACAGAACTACAAAAAACAATGTCTGTGGACGTTGAAATCCAGGCCATGTCAGGCTGACCAAATTTCAACTACCTTTCAAAGTCCATGAGCTTACGTTGTCTGTCGGTGCTCAGTGGGTGAGGATGCTGGTTACGTTAAATGGAAAGAAAGGGGTCTCATAGGTAGGTTGTCAGTAAGATCCGGGAGAGGTGACATACATTGGAGAGAGAAAGAGAGAGAGAGGGAGGGAGGGGTTGTCCAGACTTTTCATACTCTTGCTTTGACCACAAGATGACAGAAAGAAAACAGTTATCAGCTGAACATAACAGTATGCCAGTGGAAGGGAGGACAGTAGCAGATAACCCAACTGTGGTTTGTGGCTACTGTGATTTCACATTGTAGCCAACTCAATTCCGTTACTGATTTTTCTGAAATTCTGTTACTGATTTGATAACAGAATTTCGAGTTTTAATCACTTAATAATTAATAAACAAAATTGATATCAGTTAAAACACTATAACTAATTGATAGGTCTACCTTGACTTGTTACTTCTGTGAACTTTCATTAACCTCCCTCCACATGAGGGAAAGAAATTAGACAATATCTTAAAGAACTGTGGGTTTTTGGTAACGGAATTTCAAGGCACAAGGGAATATTTCTTAAACTTACAGATGGCAGAAGAATATATCCTAAACTAAGTATAAGTGTTGATATTAGTTGGGTGTTTACTTCAATATTATTGTTATTTAAATCACTTTTAAGACTTTTTCTGGCAGATGTTTCCTAAGACCCCTTTTATCTGTTTGACAAGAAATCAAAGCATTTGCTTATTGCAAATGTTTAGGATGGATAAAGAAAGAAGTATATATGCCTTAATAAAAATACAATAAAAAAAATTGATTCTTAGCTTTCATTAAACGCCCAATTTGACATGCTCCATAGATCCAAATGGAAATGACCAAATGGAAGACACTGCTTAAAATATGCAGAGCTATTGGATCTCTTTTATGAAATACTATTTTATAACTGTGTTAAAAAAATATGCACCCCAGTGCGAGGCATATGGGTGGTGTTTTCTGGGAACTAACGCTTATGCAACCCACTAACATTGCCAAATTCTTCATCGATATGTGAATGACGCAAATCATGACGTTCGCTGCAGATGCATCACACTTTGTTCGAAAATGAAGGCCTTTATAGGCCACTGTCTGTTTGATCCTCACAGATTTTCGTTGTTTGTTCACCCATTTTAAAAGGCTTAAGCTTTTCTCTTTATACTGGGTCTAAACAACCATATGGTTGATGTGACAGAATATGTACAGTTCAAGTCGGAAGTTTACATGCACTTAGGTTGTCGACATTAAAAAATCGTTTTTCAACCACTCCACAAATTTCTTGTTAACAAACTATAGTTTTGGCAAGTCAGTTAGGACATCTACTTTGTGCATGACACAAGAAATTGTTCCAACAATTGTTTACAGTCAGATTATTTCACTTACAATTCACTGTATCACAATTCCAGTGGGTCAGAAGTTTAAATACACTAAGTTGACTGTGCCTTTAAACAGCTTGGAAAATTCCAGAAAATGAGTCAATTGGAGGTGTACCTGTGGATGTATTTCAAGGCCTACCTTCCCACTCAGTGCCTCTTTGCTTGACATCATGGGAAAATCAAAAGAAATCAGCCAAGACCTCAGACATTTTTTTTGTAGACCTCCACAAGTCTGGTTCATCCTTGGGAGCAATTTCCAAACGCCTGAAGGTACCACGTTCATCTGTACAAACAATAGTACGCAAGTATAAACACCATGGGACCACGCAGCCGTCATAACGCTCAGGAAGGAGACGCGTTCTGTCTCCTAGAGATGAACGTACTTTTGTGCAAAAAGTGCAAATCAATCCCAGAACAACAGCAAAGGACCTTGTGAAGATGCTGGAGGAAACGGGTACAGAGGTATCTATATCCACAGTAAAACGAGTCCTATATCGACATAACCTGAAAGGCCGCTCAGCAAGGAAGAAGCCACTGCTCCAAAACCACCATAAAAAAGCCAGACTACGGTTTGCAACTGCACATGGGGACAAAGATCGTACTTTTTGGAGAAATGTCCTCTGGTTTGATGAAACAAAAATAGAACTGTTTGGCCATAATGACCATCGTTATGTTTGGAGGAAAAAGGGGGTACCTTGCAAGCCGAAGAACACCTACCCAACCATGAAGCACGTGGGTGGCAGCATCATGCTGTGGGGGTGCTTTGATGCAGGAGGGACTGGTGCACTTCATAAAATAGATGGCATCATGAGGAAGGAAAATTATGTGGATATATTGAAGCAACATCTCAAGACATCAGTCAGGAAGTTAAAGCTTGGTCGCAAATGGGTCTTCCAAATGGACAATGACACAAAGCATACTTTCAAAGTTGTGGCAAAATGGCTTAAGGACAACAAAGTCAAGGTATTGGAGTGGCCATCACAAATCCCTGACCTCAATCCTATAGAAAATTTGTGGGCAGAACTGTGCCTCAACACAATCCTGTCTTGACGCTCTACTGACAATTCCTTCGACCTCATGGCTTGGTTTTTGCTCTGGCATGCACTGTCAACTGTGGGACGTTATATAGACAGGTGTGTGCCTTTCCAAATCATGTCCAATCGATTGAATGTACCACAGGTGGACTCCAATCAAGTTGTAGATCAATTGAAACAGGATGCACCTGAGCTCAATTTCGAGTCTCATAGTTAAGGGTCTGAATACTTATAAGGTATCTCCGTTTTATATTTTTTATACATTTGCAAACATTTCAAAAATCCTGTTTTCGCTTTGTCATTATGGGGTATTGTATGTAGATTGATGAGGAAAAATGTTTATTTAATGCATTCTAGAATAAGGCTGTAACATAACAAAATGTGGAAAAAGGGAGGGGGTCTGAATACTTTCCGAATGCGCTGTAACTAAAGCCTGCCTCTCCATGCCTCTTGGTCCTAGGCTTTGGGATAGTTAAATGGCCAGTGCCAGAGTACCTGAGGGACGTACTGGGTACATAACTCAAAAGCATGTCTGACATGTATTGGGGTGCACAATCGTGGATTGATTTAAAAACCAATAGAAGAATCTTAAAATGAATTCTAAATCTCACAGGCAGCCAGTGCAGAGACGTTAAAACCGGTGTAATGTGTGCTCTCCGTCTGGTCTTGGTCAGTACCCGTGCTGCAGCATTCAGTATGTTTTGCAGTTGGCCAGTGGCTTTCTTGGGTAGACCAGATAGGAGAGCATTACAGTAGTCAAGCCTGCTTGTAATAAAAGCATGGATGAGTCTCTCTGTATCAACCTGAGATAGAAATGGCCGCACCTTGGCAATGTTCCTCAGGTGATTAAAAAGCTATTATGGTCACATTCCTAATGTGTGATTAGAAATTGAGTTCAGAATCAAAAATGACACCTAGGGTTTTTTACCTGGTGTTTTATCTTTATTGCCCGTGAATTAAAATGGGCAGCTAGATTCTCTCGCTGTGCTTTGGCTCCAATAATAATAATAAGTACATTGGTCTTGTCTTGATTTAGCTGGAGGAAGTTTTAAGCCGTTTAAGTATTTAAATCACTAATACAGTCTAATTTATCTGAGGAGATAATATCCTCTGGTGACACAGAAATGTAAAGTTGTTTATCGTCTGTGTAGCAGTGAAAATCAATGCCGTGCTTTCTGATAACACTGCCAAGGGGTAACATACAGTACCAATCATAAGTTTGAAAACACCTACTCATTCCAGGGTTTTTCTTTATTTTTACAATTTTCTAGAATAATAGTGAAGACATTAAAACAATGAAATAACACACATGGAATCATGTAGTAACCAAAAATTGTTAAACAAATCAAAATATATTTTATATTCCATCACTCTCCTTCTTGGTCAAATAGCCCTTACACAGCCTGGAGGTGTGTTTTGGGTCATTGTGCTGTTGAAAAACAAATGATAGTCCCACTAAGCCCAAACCAGATGGGATGGCGTATCGCTGCAGAATGCTGTGGTAGCCATGCTGGTTAAGTGTGCCTTGAATTCTAAATAAATCACAGACAGTGTCACCAGCAAAGCACCCCCACACCATAACACCTCCTCCTCCATGCTTTACGGTGGGAAATACACATGCGGAGATCATCCGTTCACCCACACCGCATCTGACAAAGACACAGCGGTTGGAACCAAAAACCTCAAATTTGGACTCCAGACCAAAGGACAAATTTCCAAAGCTGTCATCAAGGCAAAGGGTGGCTACTTAATGTAAAATATATTTTGATTTGTTTAACACTTTTTTGGTTACTACATGATTCCATATGTGTTATTTCATAGTTTTGATGTATTCACTATTATTCTATAATGTAGAAAATAGTAAAAATAAAGAAAAAACATTAAGGTATGTCCAAACTTTTGACTGGGACTGTATATTTTATATTTGAGATTCTTCAAAGTAGCCACCCTAATCTAGATTACCTACATTCGTTAGGCCCTAATCTATGGATTTCACATGACTGGGCAGGGGCGCAGCGATGGGTGGGCCTGGGAGGGCCCACCCACTGGGGAATCAGAAATCAGCCAATCAGAATCTGTTTTTCCCCACAAAAGGGCTTTATTACAGACAGAAATACTCCTCCGTTTCATCAGCTGTCCGGGTGGCTGGTTCTGCGGGTGAAGAAGCCGGATGTGGAGGTCCTGGGCTGGCGTGGTTACACGTGGTCTGCGGTTGTGAGGCTGGTTGGACGTACTGCCAAATTCTCTAAAACAACGTTGGAGGTGGCTTATAGTAGAGAAATGAACATTCAATTATCTGGCAACAGCTCTGGTGGACATTCCTGCAGTCAGCATGTCAATTGCACGCTCCCTCAATTTGAGACATCTGTGGCATTGTGTTGTGTAACAAAACTGCACGTTTTAGTGTGGCCTTTTATTGTCCCCAGCACAAGGTGCACCTGTGTAATGATAATGCTTTTTAATCAGCTTCTTGATATGCCACACCTGTCAAGTGGATGGATTATCTTGTCAAAGGAGAAATGCTCACTAACAGGGATGTAAACAAATTTGTGCACATAATTTGAGAGAAATAAGCTTTTTGTGTGTATGGACAATTTCTGGGGTCTTTTATTTCAGCTCATGAAACATGGGACCAACACTTGTTGCGTTTTATATTTTTGTTCAGTGTATATATAAAGTGTAATATTGGGATGCAAACTCAAAATTGTATACATTTCAACTCTATATCTGACATGGTACAGGTGTCTTCTTTTTTTAAAAGTCCATAACCATGTGTGTGAGGTGGATTCTTTTGTTTCAAAGTAGATTTGTTTAAGACTACCAAGAATCACTTTCTGTGACCCTGATTTAGCCCACTGCAGTAAAAGGTTAATAATGTGTTCAGTTTTACCCTGCGCTATGGGCAACAAGGTAGTAAAAACTATGCACAACGGCTACTCTTAAAAAAACAGAGGGACTTTTTACCGTCATTCTGTTACCAAATTGTTTTTTGAGTAATGTATTTTTGTAAAATGTTCAATGGAAATTGTTAAAAGTAGTCATTGTACATAGAGTTGTATGGTTTGATTAACTTTGCAATCAATGGTTTTTGTTTGCCATACTTTTAAAGTGAAAATTCGGAGTCTCAGCGTCATTCTGTTACTGTGGCATTGCCCCCATACAGTTTGATAATCCTACTGTCTCGCTTCTCTCCGAATCACCTCTTAAAGCTGATTATTGGCCTGGATAGTTATAATTAGCCAATTAACCTAGAGAGTCTGAAGAGACCACCATTTTAATGGTCTTAGAATGTTTTCAAAGTACAGTCAGTCATGGGACAGAATGAATCCATTTCATTGAAGTGTGTTCTTTTATGAAAGGCTAACCTTACAGAATAATTTTGATATGACTATGATCTCATTTGGTCATAGCCTAAATCCTTACATTTAGCATATGGTGAGAGTTAAGTCTAGACTGTAGAGTTCAACAATGAACCCAATGACATCCTATCCCAGTACCTAGGCATCTGGACAAGAATGGACACTAGGCGCATTCAAGACTTACATTCACCATGACATAGTCATTTACCAGACGTTTTTAACCACCTTAACTTATAACAAGTGCATTTTAAGTAGAAATAACATTGTAGTTACAACATCGTATTAGCATATTGTTAAATAGTAGATTAGTAATTGCATAGTAAATCACTCTGTAAGATAGGGCCTGTTCCTTATTCCATCTATGTAATAAAATAAATCGTTCCGCTCTGCTCAGTAATGAGTGAGTTTGAATGTCCCTCTGAACGCCTCTCTCTGATCAGAACGCGCTACATCCACACAGAGCTGGGCATCCGAGAGCGCCTCCTGGTGGGCGTGCTGACCTCGCGGGCCACCCTCAACACGCTGGCCGTGGCGGTGAACCGCACCGTGGCCCACCACTTCCACCGCACCTTCTTCTTCACGGGCCTGCGCAGCCCCAAGGTCCCCCACGGCATGGCGGTGGTGGCCCACGGCGATGACCGGCCCGTGTGGCTGATGTACGAGACTGTGCGCCACCTGCACCAGCACTACGGCTTGGACTACGACTGGTTCTTCCTGGCCCAGGACGACACCTACATGCAGGCCGAGAGGCTGGCCGAGCTGGTGGGCCACCTCAGCGCGGGACAGGACCTCTACATGGGCCGGGCCGAGGAGTTCATTGGTGGAGAGGAGAGGGCCAGGTACTGCCACGGGGGTTACGGCTACCTGCTCTCCCGCAGCCTACTGGCCCGCCTGCAGCCCCACCTGGACACCTGCCGCAACGACATCCTCAGCGTCAGGCCTGACGAGTGGCTGGGCCGCTGCATCATCGACTACCTGGGTCTCAGCTGTGTGGAGGTGCACCAGGTAAACTCACAGCTGAGACGTCGTTATTATAAAACATGTTTATAGAGTTGTTCAATAGAGGTTGCAATGACTATTACCTGTCTATTTTATCAATGCTAATATGTCATCATGATTTACAGTACTTTGACTACACCCATCAGCGATTTGGCTAACATTTCCCTCTCCACTGTTTGCATGTTACCTACAGGAGATGACATATCGCTACTTTGAGCTGGGGAAGAATGCAGACCCAGAGCGAGAGGACAGAGCCCAGTTTAAGAATGCCTTCACAGTCCACCCTGTGTCAGAACCCAGCCTCATGTACCGCCTGCACAAACGCTTCAGCCAGATCGAACTGGACTGGACCTACCTACAGATACAGCAGCTGCAGGTTGGTTTTGTTTAATGGAATCAGATGGGCTTTCTCTATGGTTCTCGCTATTTGAGGAGTTGTCACTGGTGTTGGTTTGACTGGTTACGGGTCCAGTGTGCAAATGTTCAGTTTTCCTACATACCGCACCAATTTCTACATAATCTACGTCTGGGCAGAAATTCCTGTCTGACCCAATATTTAGACATGTAACAGTAAACTATTTTGTGAGGATGTGATGTGTGAAATTCCAACATCACCTCATTCCAAATTTACCTGCCAATGTCATTTTGTGAACAATCCGTCAGTTTAAAAGTGTGAATTTTGTAATTCAATTCAATACAACTTTATTTATCCACTCAGGGGTAATTAAGAAAACCAAGTCAGTTTTGTTAGTATCAAATCACGCAAAGTCCTCCACAAAGAAAATAGCCTACAGTATACAACAGACATCACATGATTCCCTAATACAATACACCCCCCATACAATACATAAATACACAATATAATACGCTTATAATATTGCTTATAATAAGCTTTGAGAGACGCTGACCAAGGAGAAAATCAAACCATTACAGTTAAGCCTTGAATCGACTACCCTCAACGTTGTTGATAAACATCCTAGTATTGAATAAATAATTATTTTAATAGATGCTTTTGATACATGTAAACACTGAACAGTTGTCTCATGTTTGTCTTCTTGTCTTTTGTCCAGGTCCAGATCAACAACCTGAGTGAGTTGACCCCAGAGGGTAAGGTGGGGGCCATCTGGCCAATCGGGGTCAATCCTCCCTTCAGGCCCAAGACTCGTTTCGAGGTCATCAACTGGGAGTACTTCACCGACGAGCACATCTACTCATGCTCTGACAGCTCCCCCAAGTGTGAGCTGCGGGGCGCCGACCGGGCCGACGTGAGTGCCGTGCTGGAGACGGCCGTGGAGCGCCTCAACGAGCGCTACCAGCCCCAGCTGCGCTTCAGGAAACGCCACCTGCTCAACGGCTACCGGCGCTTTGACCCCACCCGGGGCATGGAGTACGTGCTGGACCTGGCCCTAGAAGCCTTCACCCAGAAAGGTCACAGCCAGATCATCACCAAGCGGGTCAGCCTGCTCCGCCCCCTCAGCGCTATCGAGATCATCCCCATGCCCTATGTGACGGAGGCCACCCGGGTGCAGGTCATCCTGCCCGTCACGGCCCGCGAGCAGGACTTTGTGAGCAACTTCCTGGATATGTATGTGATGAATACACTGGACATGCACGACAACGTCCTGCTCACCTTCCTGTTCGTCTACGACCCCTTCGACGCCCAGCGGGTCAGCCAGTTGGACGTGTTCGCTAGGATCAAGGCCATGATCGGCGAGGTGGAGAAGCGCTACGGCGATGTGAAGATCCCCTGGATCAGCGTGAAGACGGAGGTGCCCTCGCAGGTCAAGCTGATGGACATCATCTCCAAGAAGCACCCGGTGGACACGCTCTTCTTCCTGGCCTCGGTGTGGACCGAGGTCAACGCCGACTTCCTTAACCGCTGCCGCATGAACGCCATCAGCAACTGGCAGGTGTTCTTCCCCGCCCACTTCCAGGAGTTCAGCCCAGCCATCGTGTACCGCGACCAGCATTCCTCGGTCTCATTCGCTGCAGAAGCGCCGCGCGACGGACACTTCGACCGCCACGTCTTCGAGGAAGCTTGCTTCTACAATGCCGACTACATGGCGTCACGCACCAAGATGGCCGCCGACATCCTGGACAATGACGAGCTGCTGGAGAGCATGGACGTGTACGAGATCTTTGTGCGCTACTCGGGCTTACATGTGTTCCGGGCGGTGGAGCCGGCGCTGGTGCAGAAGTATCTGCGGCGGGCGTGCAACCCGCGCTTCAGCGAGGACATCTACCACCGCTGTATGCTCAGTAACCTGGAGGGTCTGGCCTCGCGGTCCCACCTAGCCTTGGCCCTGTTTGAGCAGGAGCAGGCCAACAGCACCTAGGGGGTCTAGTGGTGCATTTCCACTGCAGGCTTTTTTTGGGGCCAGGCCTCAGAAGGCAACATCTTTGGGCCAAACACTGGTGCAAAGCCTGACAGTGGAAATGCACCATAGGTTTACCATCTACAATGACTTGATACCTTTGGCCTTCTTTATGAACCTAAACCACACTGCCTAGACTTTTGGACGAGGCATATTATGGGATGTTGAATCTCCAAACGGATCCCTAAGAACTAAGAACCCATGTGCAATCTTAGGCCTGCAAAGACTGAGGAGTGATGTTACAACGTGTATTCCTGTGTGCAGGCTGGCAGAACTCTGTGCTTTCACTCCAATGGTAGCCCAAAGGGAGGCTCTATCGGTAGGTGATGAATGAACAATGAGCAGCATTGATGTCTGATGTTTCCGTATGTGTTTTACCTTGAGAAAACCACCATGAGCCATATGTCTTTCTTCATGACTGTGCTGAATTATGATTCTAATACTGGATTTAAAGAGAAGCCATTGAGCGTATGTGTGTATTTTCTTTAAATTGACGCTTAGTTTTCTTAGTATGTCTAACCCTTAGAGAGTGTGATTTGTTTCATGTGGTCATGTGGTTTATTTCATTCCCTAGACCGATACGGTCTGTTTTTTATTTTTCTACGGATATTAAAGGCTGATGTCGCATTCGGACTCTTTTCTGATGTTATTGTGGAATCCCAGACCTAGCTATTTCCTTTGCTAGCTACAGTATCTTGTGTGCAGTTCAATGTTTGTTTGAAACACAGTCTCCTTACCGTGGGGTCTCAATTAGGGAAGACAAAACAGAACAACTTATCTTTGAGATCTACGGCCACATAACAACGGCAGCCATTTTTCACTAAGTGAGGAGTGATGCATTCTTTGCAAGTCAAGATGGAGGTTTGCGAGCCAAGGACAAGCTAATAGGGTAGGAGATTCTAGTGGTTGATATTCCTCCAATCATATTCAGAGCTCTGAACTCTGTATTCTTCCTGGCTTGCCTCAGAGCTCTATAGCTGCACCCTGAGGCAATGTACAGTTTGTACCAAAGCCTGAAGTCTGCCTCCTCACATTAAAGCAGTAATCCTCCACCCCTACCCGGGCCTCCCTGGATTTTAGCTGGAATTCTCCTACTCGTGTCCTAGGGGAGGGGAGGAGTGAGTGAGCTCAGTGCACATTCAGAATGCCTTAGCAGGGTGGGTCCTGTCCACTTGGCAGCGGTCTGAGAGGGAAGGGGGGAAGCTGTTTCTCCATAGTGGGGGGGGGGGTTCAGAGAAATAAATGGGCCACTTCACATCCTCTGTCTTCTCCCTTCCTCTCTGGGCAGGAGCGAGGGGATTATACTGAAGGTCGAAAGGGACCCCTGGGTGAGGGATGTCAGGCCAGGGTTTGGTGGAGGGGAGGGGGGGGAGTGAAAGAGGTTCTTTCTGAGGTAGCTAGCAAGTGCTGAGGTTCTAGCCTAGCATTACAGCGTGCACTCCTCTGGAGATGCCTCCACCTGTTTCCCTGTGGTAGACTCAGTCAACAATAACTTGCCTGTGTGCCATCTGTCTCAAAGGAATGTCATGCTCATGCTAGAGGAGGATTGCTATAGTATTACTTACTACTGACTTTTATCAGTCAGTTTATTGCTTAAAAGTGAAGTGATCTACATTTCGTCATAGCCAAGGCCTATATGTGAATACAAATGTGACCCCGACTGTATAAGGGTGTTTCTGATCTGAGCTACACTACGCTTTGATAGATACAGCAGTCTTGCAACAAATAACCTTTCCAATTTGATGTTTCTAGAATAGATTATTTTCAGAGCATTGACCTACATGGAAAAACTTTTATGACTGACCTATTTAGGCCCATCCCCCTGCCATAGCAATAAACCACACATTGCAGACCTGATGGCATTTACAAACTTTGGCAAGCGCTTCTTTATTTACATCCAGGCGGTCTCTGTCACAACTGTAGTTTCATTATTATTTTAATTGTTTTGTTCTTTTTTTATTTTGAATGGGGGTAACCCAACACATTTGCACAAGTGAGACCTACACTCACCGGACAGTTTATTAGGTACACCCATCTAGTACCGGGACGGACCCCCCTTTGCCTCCAGAACAGTCTGAATTCTTCGGGGCATTCTACAAGGTGTCAGAAACGCTCCACAGGGATGTTGGCATCACGCAGATTGGACGGTGGTACATTCATGCTGCGAACAGCCTGTTCCATCTCATTCCAAAGATGCTCTATTGGGTTGAGATCTGGGGACTGCAAAGGCCACTCAAGTAAACTGAACTCGCTGTCATGTTCCAGGCAGTGTTTTCCACTCCTCTTTTGTCTAGTGTTGGTGATGGCGTGCCCACTAGAGCCGCTTCTTCTTGTTTGTAGCTGATAGGAGTGGAACCCGGTGTGGTCGTCTGCTGCAATAGCCCATCCATGACTACAGATTGACAGGTTGTGCGTTCCAAGATGCCGTTCTGCACACCACTGTTGTACTGCTCAATTATTTGTCTGTTTGTGGCCCACCTGTTAGCTTGCACGATTCTTGTCATTCTCCTTCGACCTCTCTCATCAACAAGCTGTTTTCATTTACATTTTACATTTTAGTCATTTAGCAGACGCTCTTATCCAGAGCGACTTACAGTTTTCACCCACTGGACTGCCGCCGACTGGATGTTTTTTTGTTTGTCGCACCATTCTCTGTAAACTTTAGACACTTGTGTGTGTGAAAAGCCCAGGAGGTTGGTAGTTTCTGAGATACTGGATCCGGCACGCCTGGCTCCGAAGTTCAAAGTTGCTTAGGTCACTCACTCGTTTTGCCCATTCTAACGTACAATCGAACAGTAACTGAATGCCTCGATGCCTGTCTGCCTGCTTTATATAGCAAGCCATGGCCACGTGACTCACTGTCAGTAGGAGCGATCCATTTTTGTGAACGGGGTGGTGTACCTAATAAAGTGTGTCTATCGCCATTGTGGTTACCAACAGACAAAATGGTGCAGTAGAGAAAGAGAGCTGTGAGGAACATGAACTCTCCTCACAAAGTCATGCACAGAGACTGCGGTTACCACCTATCCATTTAGGTAGACCAATAGGAATGCTGTTTGTCAGAGAGAGAGGAGCACACAGTTTAAGTACAGTCTTTTTTATATTAGTCAGATGACAGGTTTCCATTCTCAGACAGACGGTGTCAGTGAGTTGTAGTTTCTAGAATGCCCAGCAAGGGGCGCCCTACAGTCAAAGATGCTCCATGACTGCCAAACATTCAAGAACCATCTGGGTCAAACACAAATATCGATTGACACAATTGAACACAACAACTAGTATGCTCCCTTGATTGGTGAAGTTGACATACATGGAACCTGTAGTAACAAAAACTCTTATATGCAGATAACATCTATGCTGGCTGGGTAGCGCACAGGTTTTTAGCAAATGTTCGAAAAAGGCCCCTTCACAACGGACATTGTGTCAAATCCAGTGCTCTTCAGATCCACTTCCATGCATTCGTGAGGGTATTTACATGTCCTGTTTGAAATGTGTAAAACCTGTCCATGCAGCATGCATAGGTCTTTGTTTATGCTGAGTATAGGAGCGCTCAGCCATGTTGAAGAGAATCTTGACACAAAAGAAATGTAACAATGACACAAGTTTGAATGATACAGAAGACAGAAGTGTCGACTTCAAATCAGAAACTGCGAAGGCTTCTCCCATGACACACACACAAAACTAGAAGGGCACAGAACTGAGTTGCTGTGGTAGTTAAAGAGATGGGCAAGCCTTGTAGGTGGCGAGACAGAGGCATCATCACACCCAGCATTCAATTCTATGGTTCAACAAGAAGGCCCTAAAATAACCCCCCACACACACCCCTCCCCCAAATGTACATATAGGGACACTAGCGTCCCTGTCCTACAGCTTTAAACCTATGAAACCCAATCCTTCCCACCCCATATGTCCCGCCGTTCCCTAAATGAAACACACAGACACAAACAGACAGTCATAAGGGGGAAAAAAAGATATTTACGTTCACATATCCCTTAAAAATGTATTCATATTCACCCTTCAGTTTCAACTGGTAACGTAGCTTTATCGAGCTGAGACAAAATCACAGTAACCATTGTTCATTGTCTATTTTAACTAATATACTTTTTTTTTTTTTTTTTACTCTTTATCGAGACCTTTGGTGACTCCGTCAAAATGTTCAAGGCCAAAATACTGTCAGGCAGATCCACTTGGGACAGGTAGTTCACAAAAGATAACAAAAAATACAATGAACAAAGACCCATTTCTTCATTAATTTCAAATAATTAGTTACTGGACAATATTTTTCATAGCAGGCAATGTACAGATGTTGTGGCTGAAGCTTCACTGCCCGCCCCATGATTCTTCAACATAGGAAATGGTGTTGGTTACATCATATTCCAAAATGTTTCTATCGTTAATATTAAAAACACTGGTTTGAGTATTGGGAGAGATCTGTAGCTAATACTGTTCCCAGACATGACTTTTGTAGAGTTATCATGGCAGGACAATGAAGCAGCACAAACAATTAACCACTAAAGCTATACCATTTGCATGACAATTTGCTGCGGCAAGTCTGTCTGGGTGCTTTGTGTTACAGAGAGTTAGTCTGTGTAAAAACATACAGGGTGTACTGACTCCTAGGCTCCACGCTATGGCCTCCAAGTGTTACTACATGACTTCACCTTGTGCTTACTCATCATATCACCATCTATCCTTTCTATAGCCAACAGATATTGATCTGAATCGTTGTAGTCCCTTTTAACATAATCTGCTGAAATACATATTCACTTATACAGAGATCTATTTATACTGTTAAATTGTTTAAGTAAATTACAGAGGAAAGGTGAAAGAAATTAAGCTAATCTTAGATTGCGTCTTAGATTAGTTTATAATAAGGGAAAATCTCATTCATGAAAGCTGCCTACCTTGAACAAATTCATGTTTTAAATGACAGACCTCAACATTTGGGCTTCAGAAGACAAATTAGCCCAGTCCCCTGACCCATTACTTCATACTGTAATCTTCATTCTGCTGGTGTTCATTTGGTTCCACACATACTCGGAGCATATTGCTCACATGAACTATACAGCTAATCATACACTAAAATCAATGGGCACAATCCAAACTGTGTGTGAGTCAAGACACTTGCAACATCAGGTTACAAACAACCACTTTGCGCTCATACGAATGAGATGCAGTGGACCATTATTACCTTTCTATTATTTACATTTGAGTCATTTAGCAGACGCTCTTATCCAGAGCGACTTACAGGAGCAATTAGGGTTAAGTGCCTTGCTCAAAGGCACATCGGCAGATTTTTCACCTAGTCGGCTCGGGGATTAGAACCAGCGACCTTTCGGTTACCGGCACAACGCTCTTACCCACTAAGCCACCTGCCGCCCAGGTATGTATAGTACTGCTGGATTCAGTCCATCTGGTTGAGATGAGAAGGCTCCAAAACACAGTGATCATTCTGCAGGCAGCTGGTTACAATGACTTGTAGTCTCTATGGAAAGACAGTGACATGCTAGCGTGTTCTAAGTGGATGACATTAAAAGCAACCAACTGTGGACCTGGGGTCCCAGGAGTGTGGAGAGATGTACGTTTATGTCCATCAGAGATGAAGAGATTAAGGTTTTTTAGATACATGCGATTGGGGATGGGTCAGAGGCCAAAGGTCACAGTACTACAGCGATTTTAAGAAAGAAAATAAAAAACACACACACGCACAGGTCTGGGGTCAGATGAAGAGTGCAGCGTGACGTCCGAGACAGGGCGTTTAGGTGTTCCTCACGGCCAAGGCCTGCTCCAGCTCCTGTCTCCTCTGCTGGATCTGTGAGAGGGAAGGGGGAATTGGCATCAGCAACACAAAGACAACCTGACCTCAATATACCTTAGTGGATACACAGTGTCAATCAATCAATATGTAAAAAGTGATAAATCAAACATTTGATTGCTTGTGATTTGAAGACTTGTAAAACAGAGCAGCTTCAAAGCAGAATATGACTATTCCACGGGAATCCATGCTGATCACAACTCCTAGTTTGTGTTGCTACTTGGTTGCTACGTGTCTCCTCACTTTGCAGTAGAAGTAGCGACTGACGGCCTCCTGGGACCAGGGCTCGTGGTAAAACTCTGCCCTCCTCTCCTCCTCTGGGTTTCCCACCACGTCTGTCATCAGCTGCAGCCAATCAGAGAGAACTGTTAGTCAGGTAGGTGTGTGTGTGTGTGTGTGTGTGTGTGTGTGTGTGTGTGTGTGTGTGTGTGTGTGTGTGTGTCCCTCACCTTCAGGTCTCTGCTCTGGGACTTGAGCCAGTCCTGGATATAGCCCTTAGGATCCCTGGAGAAGCTGAGCATAAAGTCCCTCTGGATCTTCAACTGGTTGATGGACTCAATGGTCTCATGGATCTAAAGGGGTCCATAATGATCACTGATGTCAGAGGACAGCTTACACAGATCTACTCTAAGCGTATGAAAATAACTTTCCAATTTCAATACACCAATTGATTTGAGTCACTGCGTTTCCTCAGAATTTGCATTCAAATAGTTATGTAAGAAATGGTGGTGACAGCGTTAAGAACAAGGTTTTTCCCACAGGAACATGAAGCCACAACACCTATGTAAAGGTATATATCCCCATTGAAAAGCATTTCATTGTACTTCCAGAATTGTCTGTAATTGAAATTGAATTGTCTCCAACCCTGGCGACAAGATTCTCCGGGAGAATCAGATAGAAAACTATCGAACACGGTCAGACAGCTCTGAACTCTAATTCACATATAACTGACGGTACTTAGTCGTCACACATCTCTGCAATGTAAATCTACCTTTAAGGTCATCTTGGGTAATTGTGATTGGCTATCCTTCCTGTGTGGTTGTCCCACCTTGTTGTCCAGTGAGGCGATCTCCTGCTGGTTGGCGGTGGAGAGCAGGAAGCTGCTCATCTGGCTCTTCAGGGGGTCCTCCACCTCCACGTCAATGTCATAGCATGCCGTCTTCTTCTGGTCGTTAGGGTCCACACTGCAGGGAGAGGCAGGGAAGGATGGTGAGACTTTGAGGTTGTTGGCAGCATTTCAAATGTATTCAAAATGAAAAGCCTGGAAGGCAAGAATGCTGGTGGTCTGTCTGTATCTTACCAGCATTCTTGCCTCCCAGTCTTTACATTTGTATTGGATTATCTGCCCTTTGGGACAGTATTAACTGTGAAGCGCTGTGCCCACATTGTTATCTTATAGCTTTTCTAATGTATTCATCTGCTAGATTTTTATATTTTATAACATAACAAAACCAAAAAAAACGTTTTCGTGTTGCCTTTTATGACCAGACATTCACCCTTCAATTCAAACCAGGAAGTTGCCAGGTAGGTGTTAAGTGTGAGCTGCTCACCTGATGACGTGGTTGATGACGATGGGGTCAGGGGGCAGGAGGAGGTTGGTGAGACGCTGGGGGATCTCAGAGAACTTGAGCCGCGGGCAGTCAAAGATCTGAGAGGACGACAGTAACATCTCAGAATACAGACCTAGCAGCAGGGAAGCGCAAATGTGTCCCAAATGGCACCATATTCCCTATATAGCTATACTTTAGACCAGGGCCCATAGGGCTCTTGTCAAAATGAGTGAATTATATAGGGAATAGAGTGCAATTTAGGACGCAGCCAATAACAAAGGGATAATCTCCCCACTGAAGGTACTATGGCAACAGCTAACAGGTAATACAGTACCAGAGGAGAACTAGAAGAGTGTAGTCTACCTGCTGAAGGTACTATGGCAACAGCTAACAGGTAATACAGTACCAGAGGAGAACTAGAAGAGTGTAGTCTACCTGCTGAAGGTACTATGGCAACAGCTAACAGGTAATACAGTACCAGAGGAGAACTAGAAGAGTGTAGTCTACCTGCTGAAAGTACTTGTCACAGTTGATGTACTCCTTGTCATGGGAGTCCTGCAGCTTGTTGGTCTTGACATACTGCCACAGGGCCTGGATGATACAGGAGCGGGTCTGGGTGTGGATACCCAGCAACCGAGCCAGACGAGGGTCCAGCTTAAACTGGGGGGGCTGGGGAGAGGTCAAAGTCAATACTAGCCGACTGACCTCAGGAACTATTACAACTGCCAGATGACAGCTGCTTTGGGGACACTTTTGTTCGAGTTTTGTAAGTCCTCTAAATAGATTTTAGCCTCATGCACTACTGATAATTAAAAGGACTGAAAACTTTATCTAGGAAAGCACATCAGCGGACAGTAATGTGAATAGTGTCTATGGCGCCATCACCTGGTAGTCCAGCATTAGCAGCAGTGTGCAGCGCACGCTCACGTCCCCTGGCCGCTTCACCTGGAAGCCGTCGGTCTCCTGGGTGGTGGGAGTGCGGTGCCACTAGCAGGAAACACAGAGACAGAAACCCCACCTTGAATACTACCTACAGGCACCAGCCACGGAATTCCAGAATATGTACATCCAAACGTGCACACAAAGACGATGAACGAATACATAACCAAATGTGTACACTTTCAACGAGCAGCCTTGCTCTCGACCCTTTGAGTATGTTGTCTTTTGGAAGGCTGAGTAGCTGTAAAATAATAGATCATGCATAGTGTGGTAAGGAACTGAGTGAACTACCAAGACAGCAAAGGGTTGATCATTTGTTTTTCCAGAGGCGCTAACTCATATGTTGGCATTCAAAATAATAAAATAATCAGATTGAGAATCATTATATCAGAAGAGCATGGCTTATCAAGTTGAGACTGTACCCTACCCAAATAAAACCTCTATTTGGCATTATACTATCAATTTTCTCCTCTGATATCCAGATATGAAACCCTCCCTGGTATTTTATCTATGTGGAAATGTTAGTTGAGTCTGCGTCTTACCTTCGCTTTACTGGTCAGCTGCTGAAAAGAAAAACACTTAAAGTTCCCTGCGTTTCGGTGAATTGTAGCCACGTAGCATGCAACACTGGGAGGGAACTGATGGAATGCTTTTCTACAGCTTCACCACTAACTCAATGTAGGGTTTACAACAATATGTTTTCGTTGCTGGGTTGTGGTACATTCTGTTTGATGGACAGATTCATTCCAAGCAAATCTATATATGCCATCTATCCTTGCTAAAAGATTATAAGGTGGAAAACCTTGAGAAGTACTCTAACCTCAAAACAGTCAAGGAAGCATTTTGTCAAGTTAGAACACCTTGTGTTCATTCTCCGGTACAGTGGATTCCTCGATCTAAAACCCCATTTAATACTAAAATCAGTAACACGCTGTATAGGACTGGCTGGGTTTTACTGCCTCTTCAGTAACATATCTGTTCTCGGATGATGACATCAGCCAGATAAGTCAATAAGAGTGATGTCAGGTCTTCCAGTAGCCAACAACACCAAAATAGGCTAAATACAGTACATGAGAATACCCACTGGGCACACACTGGTTGAATCAATGTTGTTTCAATGTAATTTGTCAACGTATTGTGACGTGGAATCAATGTCGAAAATACATTGGATTTGAAAAAAGTCATCAACTTCAACCATGAAAACATACATGAAATGAGTTTGAATAGGAAATATAGCAAAATGAATAGGAAATGTAGTCATTGACAAGGTTAGAAATAATCATTTTTTATTGAAATAATAATTGTGTCCTTCAAACTTAGCTTTCGACAAAGAATCCTCCATTTGCAGCAATTACAGCCTTGCAGACCTTTGGCATTCTAGTTGTCAATTTGTTGAGGTATTCTGAAGAGATTTCACCCCATGCTTCCTGAAGCACCTCCCACAAGTTGGATTGGCTTGATGGGCACTTCTTACGTCCCACAACAGCTCAATAGGGTTGAGATCCGGTGACTGTGCTGGCCACTCCATTATAGACAGAATACCAGCTGATTGCTTCTTCCCTAAATAGTTATTGCATAGTTTGGAGCTGTGCTTTGGGTCATTGTCCTGTTGTAGGAGGAAATTGGCTCCAATCAAGCGCCGTCCACAGGGTATGGCATGGACGTTGCAAAATGGAGTGATAGCCTTCCTTCTTCAAGATCCCTTTTACCTTGTACAAATCTCCCACTTTACCACCACCAAAGCACCCCCAGACCATAACATTGCATCCACCATGCTTGACAGATGGCATCAAGCACTCCTCCAGCATCTTTTCATTTGGTCTGCATCTCACAAATGTTCTTCTTTGTGATCCGAACACCTCAAACTTCGATTCGTCTGTCCATAACCCTTTTTTCCAATCTTCCTCTGTCCAGTGTCTGTGTTCTTTTGCCCATCTTAATATTTTATTTTTATTGGCCAGTCTGAGATACGGCTTTTTCTTTGCAACTCTGCCTAGAAGGTCAGCAACCCGGAGTCGCCTCTTCACTGTTGACGTTGAGACTGGTGTTTTGCGGGTACTATTTAATGAAGCTGCCAGTTGAGGACCTGTGAGGCGTCTGTTTCTCAAACTAGACACTCTAATGTATTTGTCCTCTTGCTCAGTTGTGCACCGGGGCCTCCCACTCCTCTTTCTATTCTGGTTAGAGCCAGTTTGCGCTGTTCTGTGAAGGGAGTAGTACACAGCGTTGTACGAGATCTTCAGTTTCTTGGCAATTTCTCGCATGGAATAGCCTTCATTTCTCAGAACAAGAATAGACTGACGAGTTTCAGAAGTAAGTTATTTGTTTCTGGCCATTTTGAGCCTGTAATCGAACCCACAATTGCTGATGCTTCAGATACTCAACTAGTCTCAAGAAGGCCAGTTTTATTGCTTCTTTAATCAGCACAACAGTTTTCAGCTGTGCTAATATAATTGCAAAAGGGTTTTTTAATGATCAATTATCCATTTAAAATGATAAACTTGGATTAGCAAACACAACGTGCCATTGGAACACAGGACTGATGGTTGCTGATAATGGGCCTCTGTACGCCTATGTAGATATTCCATAAAAAAATCAGCCGTTTCCAGCTACAATAGCCATTTACAACATTACCAATGTCTACACTGTATTTCTGATAAATGTGATGTTATTTTAATGGACAATTTTTTTTATTTTCTTTCGAAAACAAGGACATTTCTAAGTGACCCCAAACTTTTGAACGGTAGTGTACAGTCGTGGTCAAAAGTTTTGAGAATGACACAAGTATTGGTCTTCACAAAGTTTGCTGCTTCAGTGTTTTTAGATATTTTTGTCAGATGTTACTATGGTATACTGAAGTATAATTACAAGCATTCCATAAGTGTCAAAGGCTTGTATTGACAATTACATTAAGTTTATGCAAAGAGTCAATATTTGCAGTGTTGACCCTTCTTTCTCAAGACCTCTGCAATCCGCCCTGGCATGCTGTCAATTAACTTCTGGGCCACATCCTGACTGATGGCAGCCCATTCTTTCATAATCAATGCTTGGAGTTTGTCAGAATATGTGGGTTTTTGTTTGTCCACCCGCCTCTTGAGGATTGACCACAAGTTCTCAATGGGATTAAGGTCTGGGGAGTTTCCTGGCCATGGACCCAAAATGTCGATGTTTTGTTCCCCGAGCCACTTAGTTATCACTTTTGCCTTATGGCAAGGTGCTCCATCATGCTGTAAAAGGCATTGTTCGTCACCAAACTGTTCTTGGATTGTTGGGAGAAGTTGCTCTCGGAGGATGTGTTGGTACCATTCTTTATTCATGGCTGTGTTCTTAGGCAAAATTGTGAGTGAGCCCACTCCCTTGGCTGAGAAGCAACCCCACACATGAATGGTCTCAGGATGCTTTACTGTTGGCATGACACAGGACTGATGGTAGCGCTCACCTTGTCTTCTCCGGACAAGCTTTTTTCCGGATGCCCCAAACAATCGGAATGGGGATTCATCAGAGAAAATGACTTTACCCCAGTCGTCAGCAGTCCAATCCCTGTACCTTTTGCAGAATATCAGTCTGTCACTGATGTTTTTCCTGGAGAGAAGTGGCTTCCTCACTGCCCTTCTTGACACCAGGCCATCCTCCAAAAGTCTTCACCTCTCTGTGCGTGCAGATGCACTCACACCTGCCTGCTGCCATTCCTGAGCAAGCTCTGCACTGGTGGTGCCCCGATCCCGCAGCTGAATCAACTTTAGGAGACGGTCCTGGCGCTTGCTTGACTTTCTTGGGCGCCCTGAAGCCTTCTTTACAACAATTGAACCTCTCTCCTTGAAGTTCTTGATGATCCGATAAATGGTTGATTTAGGTGCAATCTTACTAGCAGCAATATCCTTGCCTGTGAAGGCCTTTTTGTGCAAAGCAATGATGACGGCACGTGTTTCCTTGCAGGTAACCATGGTTAACAGAGAAAGAACAATGATTTCAAGCACCACCCTCCTTTTAAAGCTTCCAGTCTGTTATTCTAACTCAATCAGCATGACAGAGTGATCTCCAGCCTTGTCCTCGTCAACACTCTCACCTGTGTTAACGAGAGAATCACTGACATGTCAGCCGATCCTTTTGTGGCAGGGCTGAAATGCAGTGGAAATGTTTTTTGGGGATTAAGTTCATTTTCATGGCAAAGAGGGACTTTGCAATTCATCTGATCACTCTTCATAACATTCTGGAGTATATGCAAATTGCCATCATTAAAACTGAGGCAGCAGACTTTGTGAAAATTAATATTTGTGTCATTCTCAAAACTTTTGACCACGACTTTATATTGGGTGGTTGAAATTATATTGAATTTCACATTTGATTAGACATACACTACATGACCAAAAGTATGTGGACACCTGCTCGTCAAACATCTCATTCCAAAATCAAGGGCATTATTATGGGGTTGGTCCCCCCTTTGCTGCTATAACAGCCGCTACTCTTCTGGGAAGGCTTTCCACTAGATGTTGGAACATTGCTGCGGGGCCTTGCTTCCATTCAGCCACGAGCATTAGTGAGGTTGGGCACTGATGTTGGCCGATTAGGCCTGGCTCTCAGTCGGGGTTCCAATTAATCCCATAAGTGTTCGATGGGGTTGAGGTCAGGGCTCTGTGCAGGCCAGTCAAGTTCTTCCACACCGATATCGTCAAACCATTTCTGTATGGACCCCGCTTTTGGCCTTCCCCAAACTGTTGCCACAAAGTTGGAAGCACAGAATCATCTAGAATGTCATTGTATGCTGTAATGTTAAGATTTCCCTTCACTGGAACTAATGGGCTTAGCCCGAACCATGAAAAACAGCCCTCCTCCACCAAACTTTACAGTTGGCACTATGCATTGGGGCAGGTAGCGTTCTCCTGGCATCCGCCAAACCCAGATTCGTCCGACGGACTGCCAGATGGTGAAGCGTGATTCATCACTCCAGAGAACGCGTTTCCACTGCTGCAGAGTCCAATAGCGGCGAGCTTTACACCACTCCGGCCGACACTTGGCATCCCGAATGGTGATCTTAGGCTTGTGTGCGGCTGCTCGGCCATGGAAACCCATTTCATGAAGCTCCCGACGAACAGTTCTTGTGCTGACGTTGCTTCCGGAGTCAGTTTGGACCTCGGTAGAGAGTGTTGCAGACGATTTTTACGCACTACGAGCTTCCGCACTCGGCCGTCCCGTTCTGTGAGCTTGTGTGGTCTACCACTTCACGGCTGAGCCGTTGTTGC